AAGTTAAATCAAATAATTGTGGCCAGAAATTTGAATAAAAGGTACCACACCCCTAATGTATCAAGTCAAAAAATAAAGGGAGGAGGTGGGGCTTTTTCGATACCAAGTAACAAAGACCAAAAAAAAAAACCAAAGTGGTCTTTGTCACTTGGTACCTAAAAAGCCCCACCTCTTCTCATTTTTTGACTTTAAACAATCATACAGGAACCTTAAGTTGTACATGGCAGTTTAGGCTAGGTTCACACCTGCACTACACCGCACAATACCCGGGACGCGCGGTCCTGCACAATGCGATTGCAGCGCGGCCCCATTTATTTCAATGGGGTGACATCCGTGTGGTAATCGCAAAAAAAAAGTACATGCACCTTTTTTTGCGATACACGACGTGCGGCTGGTTCGGAAGCATGGGCGGAATCGCGGCGGAAAACCATGCAAGCCGTCTGGCACGACTGGGGTACCATTAGAAAATATTGGCACCCACAGCGCGATTGGTTCACTTCTTGGCAACTCGAACCGCGCTGCCATCCGCGAGGAATCGTGCACGATTGCCGCGCGGTGAGGTGTCGCCTAGGTGTGAACCTAGCCTCACAGGCTGCGTTTGACCTGTCCTGCATTCTGTAGATGCAGCAATTACTATTAAGGTGTTTTTCAACTGCAGGCAAAACAGGTCATATGCAGCCTCTTCATGTCAAACACACTGCATTCGTGTGAAAGGAAAATGCAGCATTTGATTAAAACGCCTGTGGATATGAACACTTAATGCCAAAGTCTCTAATAAGATCAGGTGAGCATTAAGACGTCTACAAAACAATCTCAAATTAACAGAATTCCTAAGCTAAAGCAGAATTATCTGGGATAACTTAGTTCAAGAACTTGCAATACAAAGATCAGATCAGATCAGATTTCTATAAAAACTTATCTACATCAGGAAAATATGTTTCATTATAACAATAAATTGGCGTGTTTATGTGGGGAAAAAATGTGACTGTTTTTTAATCACAATCAGAATTCTAGAAACAAAGTAAGTGGGAAAATCTAGGGAGCCAAGATGATTGGAGAGCTTATACTGGAGATTGGCCAAAGTACAGTTAGTATTAGTCACATTCACATGGACTTCTTCTGTAATGTTGAAGACGTTTCAGCACTCAAAGTGGCTTCTTCAGTTCTAAAATGAGAAACAGAGGAAACCAATTGGATGAATGATGAAACATCTTCAGCCTGGAGTTTAGTGACTTTGCCTCTTTGACCTTTTACCTAAAGACACCTTTTTTAGAAAAGGAGACCATTTTACGCCTGGAACTTGAAATTTACAGAATTTACTGGCATACAGGTCATTAATCTTGACCGGCAAGGAACTCATCACATTTGACTTGATATTTTCACGATATAGGCGTGTCAGCTGAACGCACATTTAGTCATGGCCAATAAAGTCATCCACCTGTTTAAAGTGCTTTCACAGTAACACCCCGAGCCCAACCCTATTCCTAAGGAAGCACAGGGATTTACAATGTTTTAATAATCTCCTTTTTGTTACAGAATAATTGGTTATCTCCATTTCAACAAGTGTGACTGCACATTCACAACCCAAACATTGTGTGAAACTAACAATTTACCATCTTTCTTTGCTTAGACAGCATACTGTAAATACTGCACTATAGTTACATTAAATAGGAAAAGTAGTAAGTATTTTAAATTACAATTTTTGTTAAACAAAAAAAAACATAAGGGGGAATTTATCAAAACTGGAGCAGCCAAAATCTGGAGCAGATGTGCACAGTAACCAATCTGCCTCTCGCTATAATTTTCAAATCTTAACTGACCAGACTGAAGAGAGAAGCTGATTGGTTACCATGAACAACTGCTCTGGATTTTGTTTGCTCCAGTTTTGGTAAATTCCCCTCCCCCATAGTTTATACCCAAGTTCAGT